TTTTTTTTTTTACATGACGGGGTTGAGTTCAAGTTTTTACAAGTTCAAAAGCACGTGCACTTTTCAAGTAATGTGCAGTTAATGATTGTCATCACAGTGAGCAGTAAATGCCTTCAACAGCATTCTACATTCTTTGTTTCAAGTGTTTGAACAGAACCAACAACAGAGTGGGGCTAAATAAAATCACAGGAAGGAATAAATTCCCTAACAGCTGTAATAAATAAGATCTCGGGGAGTCTCATTTTTCTTTTTCTGTAACCGTTTCACAGAAGAGCTGCGATGTTCAAGGTCGTGGGCGGATTCAGTTTTTCTTCAAACTTCAGTCTTTCCATCACTTTGGCAATGGTTAATCTTTTGGTCTCATCCAGTTCATAAACTTTGTCCTAAAATCTTCAGAGGCTCATCTCTATTCTTTGGTGATTTTCACCCCTGGTCTGCTTATTAGGCAATCGGACTTTTGGGTCATAGGTTTAGGGTTTTGGGATTAGGGTTGATTAAATCATGGTTTAAGTTGTGACGCACCAAACTGAAAACTAGTTTGAAATAGATTACATTCAAACCTCAGTTTCATTTGCACTCTACAAGCAAGTTGAAATTGAAATATGTTGCATGAGAACTTAAAACTCCAGTTTAAAATCTGATTGGGAATTAATTTTAAACTGACAGTTGGAATGCTTTAACTTGGAACAATGACAGTCTTGAGACGGAAGGAATTACAGTAATTGTAGATAGGACACATTCAGTTGTTTGTGCATTTGGGGGTGCATAAGTATTTCCCTATGGCGTATGTTATCTTGGAGATTTTTTTCACACAAAGGTACTCAGGGTCCATGGTCTCAACAGTTGGTAAAATATACTGTATTCTGCAGTCAAATTACCTCTTCTTAAAGTAGTTATCAATTGCTAGATCAGGCTCCCAGGCTTTCATATGACAAGAGTCGAAAACGACTCCTCGGTGGCGCTGACTCTCAAACAACGGCGCGATGGACAGCAGAATTTACGATGTTAGCCTATCATCAATCCCGTTACTTGATTGACAGACAGGGCAGCCAGTCAGATGACAACTGAATCACCGCGCATGCGCAAAGAAGGGCACTAAGCTAGTCAGCAAATTACCTGTAATTTTAAGGCAGGGGTGCCCAATATGTCAATCGTGATCGACCGGGAGCCAGCGGATTGGTCGCAGGTCGACCGCGAGGGTTGGGAGGAGGAAAATGGGGGCGGGGGACTTTAGGGGTGTTCACACGGCACATATTTGTTCCGGTGCTGCACCAATGTATTTTGTTGCGATATATCTTGCACTGGAGCAAATTTTGTGGAGCGTTCACACGTACAAAGCCGCTGAGCGTGTTAACCCCGGTGCAGCCCTGATGCAGCCCCACTTGCGTTCACACAGCAGTTTCTGCAGCGGTGCAAAATGATAGAAAACAAAGCTGTCGTGTTGGTTCTTTTTAAAACATACACAACTCAAGCAACTACTGTACAGACACGTCCTTCTCCTTCTCGGTCTCCGTGCCTTCTGCTCGAGAGGCGTTCAATGACTGCCCCCGAAAAATATACATCAACGATGACTTCAATGACACTCAGAAAAGCAAACATACAATGAGCCAGACAGAAAATCAAGAGATGAAATCACAAAATAAATTCTATGGGGGAGTTGTGAACACACAACAGAGGAACAAACTACACAAACAACTCCGAGACAGTCCACCAGTCTCCTACAAAAGGAAAGATGACGGAAGTACAACAGAGCACGAAAGCAACGCATTCCAGCCGTATGTAATCAACTCTTCTCATGTAATAATAATAATAATAACAATGCATTTTATTTAAAAGCGCCTTTCATGCCACCCAAGAACACTGTACAGACAATTAGAAAATACAATGTAAAAATTTGTAAGCGAGATATTATATAAAAACAGGACATAAAATCATAAAAACATAGGGAATGGAAGAGCTATGTGTTGTAGGCAATCCTGAACAGGTGTGTTTTTAGATGGGACTTGAAAGTGGAGAGAGATGTGCAGTTTTGGAGGTCCGGAGGTAGATTGTTCCAAAGCTTTGGAGCAGCGCGACTGAAGGCTCTAGCTCCCATGGTGCTCAGGCGGGCAGGGGGCACTGACAGGTGGAGGGAGGACGAGGATCTGAGGGAGCGAGTGGGGATATGCACCTGGAGAAGGTCGGACAGGTAAGGAGGGGCCAGGTTGTGGATGGCCATATTTGTATATAGGAGCAGTTTGTAATTGATGCGATGTTGAACAGGAAGCCAGTGGAGCTGTTGGAGAACGGGGGTGATGTGCTGCTGGGAAGATGTTTTTGTGATGATGCGAGCAGAGGCGTTTTGAACCAGCTGGATTTTATGGAGGGACTTTTGAGGTAGGCCGAAGAGGAGAGCGTTGCAGTAATCAAGGCGGGATGTGACAAGACTGTGGACAAGAATAGCAGTGGTGCGGGGGGTGAGGGAAGGGCGAAGTCTGGTAATATTGTGGAGGTGGAAATAAGCAGTGCGGGTGATGGTGTTGATATGTGAGTGGAAGGTGAGCATGCTATCCAGGATGACACACAGACTCTTGAACTGGGGGGAGGGGGACACTAAAGAGCTGTCGATGTTGAGGGAGAAACTGTTAACTTTAGATAAAGTGGATTTGGTGCCAAGAAGGAGGATTTCAGTTTTATTAGCATTTAATTTAAGAAAGTTTGTTGTGAACCATGTTTTGAGTTCGGAGAGGCAAGAGGTGAGGGAGGGGGGTGGGAGTATGGAGTTTGGTTTGCAGGAGAGGTAGAGCTGGGTGTCATCAGCAAAGCAGTGAAAGTGGATATTAAATTTGCGGAGGATATGACCAAGAGGCAGGAGGTAGATGATGAAGAGAAGGGGACCTAGGACAGATCCCTGGGGTACACCTGGGGTGACTGGGGAGGGCTTTGAGGTGAAGGATTTGAGCTGGACAAACTGAGTGCGGCCGGTGAGGTAGGAGTGGAACCAACTGAGGGGAGTGTGGGAGAGACCAATGGAGGAGAGTCTATTGAGGAGGATAGGGTGAGAGATTGTGTCAAAGGCGGCGCTCAAGTCTAAGAGGATGAGGATGGAGACTAAACCGGAATCAGATGCTACGAGGAGATCATTTACAATACGGATTAGGGCAGTCTCTGTGCTGTGGCGGGGGCGGAAACCAGACTGAAAGGGTTCATAGAGAGAGTGGAGGGACAGGTGGGAGTGGAGTTGAGCAGCAACAGTTTTTTCAAGGATTTTCGAGATAAATGGAAGGTTGGAGATGGGGCGGAGGTTATCGAAGTTGTTGGGGTCAGAGCCATGTTTTTTCAGTGTGGGGGTAACAGCAGCGGTTTTGAAAAGTGATGGGACAATACCAGAAGCGAGTGAGGAGTGGATAATGGCAGATATGAGAGGAAGCAGGGAAGGGAGGCAGGATTTAACAAGGGATGAAGGGAGGGGATCGAGCTGGCAAGTGGTGGGCTTGGATTTGAGTATGAGGTTGGATAATTCAGCAGTCGTGGGTGGAACAAAACTGGTGAAGAAATGACAAGGAGAAAGAGGTTCAGATGGGGAGAAAGCAGGCAGGTTTTGATGGAGGTGGTGATGGATCTTCAGGATTTTGTGATTGAAGTACTCCATTATGGAGTTGCAGGTTGCTGTGGAGTACAGGTGGAGGGGGAGAGAATTTGGTGGGTGTAGGATTTTGTTCATGACAGAGAAGAGAGTTCTTGAATTTCCTTCGTTGGAGAGGATGAGGCCGGAGTAGTAGCTGGATTTGGGTTGTGCAACTTGGGTCAGCTTGATTTAGTTTGTGCAATTTGGTCCTTGTATTTAGTGATATGGGTAGTGTACATGTCCTTATGGATGGTGAGACCGGTTTTCTTATAGAGTCGCTCAAGTTGGCGGTTTTTTGATTTCATTGACCTAAGAGTGGGTGTAAACCAGGGGGCAGATGTAGAGAATGAAGCAGTCCTGGTCTTCAGGGGGGCAAGAGAGTTTAGAATATTTGTGAGGCAGGCATTGTAGTGAGCAGTGAGGTCATCCAGGTTTGAAAGAGCGTCTGGGGGCGGGGAACGGTCGAGAATGGAGCAGAAGGCGTCAATGTTGAAATTTTTGGTATTACGAAAAGAAATGAGGCAGGAGGTTTTGATTGTCGAGAGACGGAGTACGGTGTTGAAAGTGAGGAGGAAATGATCAGTTTCAGGAAAAACATCAGCAGTGGGCTTGGGGGGGGAGAGGCCAGAGCAGCAAACCAAGTCCAATGTGTGGCCTTTGATGTGGGTGGGGAAGTCAATAAGACAGTGTATCCCGAGGCTCTCCAGGCAGGATGTGAAGTCTCTGGTGAGTGGCAGGTTGGGGTTGTCCATGTGAATATTGAAATCTCCCAGCAAAATTAAATTTGGCGAGAGAGTGGATAAGTGTGTGATTAAGATGGAAAATTCATTGATAAAATCACTATGTGGCTTCGGGGGGCGATAAACTGTAGCAATGATGGTTGGCAAGGATCCAGGGAGCTTAAACACCAGGCATTCAAGAGAGCTTGATGCAGAGACGGAGACAGGCAAGACTTTTCACTTCTCGCGGTGGATTACCGCGAGGCCTCCTCCACGGCCGCTGCCACGGGGACGGCAGAAGTAAACAAAGCCGGGAGGAGTGGAGTCATTCAGAGCAGCAAAGTCGTTTGTTTGTTGCCAGGTTTCTGTTAAAACGAGGAAGCCAAGTTTGTGTTCGGCGAGGACGTCTTGGATGAGGTGTCCCTTGTTCGTGAGTGAGCGGATGTTCAGCAGTCCAAAGTTGACGGCGGAGGTGTCATGTTGGACGGCGGCAGTGCTGTTAGCCGACCTAGCCAGGCGGGCTAATGCATGGTAGTTGGTGTTGCGATCGCAGTTTCTGGGAGGGCGTCGAGAAGTGGACCAGGTCGAGTTGATTGAGCCACGGTTTTTATACTCGACATGTCTGCGCGATCCGCGGTGAATGTAGCGACGTCGAGGCAGGCGAGCGATGTCAGGATAATGGTGCAGCTCCGATGGCGGAGGCTCCGGTGCAATCCACCGGATCCGGAGAAGATCCGCGACAGAATAGTGAAGCAGTCCTGTCACTGGATGTGGCAGAACGTCAGGAGTATCAGGAATAATCCAAAGGTGGCGAGGTTTTGGCGCCCCATGACGAGGGAGAAAGGCCGGTGCGGTGACAGCTGGTAAGTTTAAGCTACCGGCGTTAGCCCGTGGACTAAGTTACGATTGGGGTTTGGTTAGTCGGGTGAAGCGATGATTCAGGTTACATCAATCACAGTGCCCACAGTCCAAACAGTCCAAAACAGAAGGGCAAAAGAAAAATCAAAAGGAATATCTGAGCTTCGAAAAGTTTGGAGTGAGAAGCGGCGACATACACGCCAGCGTCCTCTCACCCGGGAAGTAGCGACGCTACTCCCCCCGCAAACGAGCATTTGCTTCGGAGCAAATTTTTAACCCTGTAGCGTTCACACGTACCATTTTACATCGGTGCAGTCCCGCAAACGAGCATTTGTTCCGGAGCAAATTTTTAAACCACCTCCCTGAGCAGGGTGAAATTTGCTCCGGTTTAAGCTGTTTTCAGGGGCTACACCGGTGTAACTTTGCACGTGTGAACGCTCCACTGAGGCTGCCCCGGCGCAGCACCGGAGCAAATGTTGCTGTGTGAACACCCCTTTTGTGTGCCTGTGTGTTTCGATTTCCTTCATGTTCGCTGATGTTCCGGCTGTCGCTCACCTCCGCGTGCGTGCATAAGCGCACATGTGCGTGGTTGGGGGCCCGCGTGTTTTGTGCAAGTGTGCATGTGTGTATGCTTGCACGTGCCCGATCATCGCGGGAGGTTCGTCGCTTCCAAAGTCGCTCTTCGGTCAAATATGTAGCAAGCTGTAGAGGGGGAGCTGTCAATTTGCTTTTGGCCCTCCTTGGACACAGGATCTTTTATCTCTCTATAAGGTGGAAGAAGACCCAACACCACGTCGTCTTTTCTTCAGTTTATCACAACGCAACACGAATCGATTCGGGCTCCTGTGAGTCTCAGATTTCATCAGGAAGCCTCGAAGAAATACAGTCGCACGTATATATAGGCATAGTATGTTAATTATGTTAATGAGGGGCGGTCAGTCCTTCCCCTTATGTAAAAATCAGAAACAAAGAAAGGTCAATGCAATTCGATCTTTGACATGAGGGCAAAATCCAGACCTCCTCCTGCTGTGCATAGATCTCGAGATAGAATTACCTTTCCCTGGGAAACAAGAGGGCCTTTATGACCTTTGCCCAGAAAAAAACACTTGGGGGCTGTCGATCCCTCAAGGGAAAATAAGATGTAACCTTAGCACTGCATTCATGTGTTTCTATCGGTGAACAGATGTTCTTGAAAGAGACTTGTATCAATAGTACTCATGGTAAGGCGAAATTCCTCCACATCAGCAACACAGATGCTTGAGATAAACGTGTCCACTGGAGAGGTCCTAAAAGTGGTGGGTGTTGAGGGGCACGAAAGGTGATTGTAATCACAGTGAGCAGTAAATACTTCCAACAGCATTCTACAATCTTCGTTTTCGTGTTTGAACAGAATCAACAACAGAGTATGGCTAAATAAAATCACATTAAGGAAGAAATTCCTGAACACAAGCTGACCCAATTAAGTAAGTAACCACTGCAGCTCGCATGCAGACAGTGCCCTGCTTCGAGTGGCCAAATGCCAAAAGTCCCTGCACGAAGGCGCTAAACAACATGCATGCGTGCATAAATACATTTATGTGTGTATGTGTGTGTGTGTGTGTGTGTGTGTGTGTGTGTGTGTGTGTGTGTGTGTGTGTGTGTGTGTGGACTTGGGTGAACTGCGAGTTTGTGTAAGTGAGATCGTGCACACAATTCACTGTTGAAAATGACTGGCCTGTGGTCTTTGTACTGTAGGAGTCAATTTTTGTCATTATGTTGGTGTTGTTGTTGTTGTAGGCGCCTCAGGATAATCCTGAGTAGCGCTAGATTATGTTGGTGTGTAAGGACTGTGTGTGAAAGGGATGCGGCGGTGGTCTCTGACTGGTTGGCCACCCCTGATCTACATTATTACATTAGATAATATACTGGACATAATAAATAGTGTGGCACGGCGCGCCAGTGGTTAGCGCGTTGACCTCACAGTGCGGAGGTGCATGATTTGATTCCGGCTCCGGCCTTCCTGTGTTGGAGTTTGCATGTTCTTCCCGGGCCTGCGGGGCTTTTCTCCGGGTACTCCGGTTTCCTCCCACGTTCCAAAAACATGCGCAGCAGGCTGATTGAACACTCCAAATTGTCCCTCGGTTTGAGTGTGAGCGCGGATGGTTGTTCGTCTCTGTGTGCCCTGCGACTGGCTGGCAGCCATTTCAGGGTGTCCCCCGCCTACTGTCCAAAGACAGCTGGGATAAATAAATAGATAAATAAAATAAATAACGCAGATTGGTAAATGGATGGATAGTAAATAGTGTTTCGGAAAAGAACAAGAGAGCATATGGCAAATAATTTGGAACAATGTGTATTTTCAAGATGACACACTTTCAAACATTGAATACACCTTGACCAACAGGTCAAAAGTCTCACAGGTTACAAAGATATCATAATTCAAGCATCACTGATCATATCGGGGCAGGGATACAAAGACAATACGAACATGTTCGGGCAATCCAATCACTCACTCCATCCATTTTGTGGACAGCTCACCCCGTTTAGGGTGAAGACAAAGAAGTGTGACATGCTCCTCCCAAAGGGCTAACGCTACACATTGCTATTCTTCCAACAGAGGCGGAGGAGATAGTTTAAGACTGAAACTCTCTTGTGCTGGATGAGCTTGAATGAGAATCCCTGCTCTCTCGTTGCTGTGGCAGTGAGAGAGCTCCGTCAGGACGGACAACTGGGGGTTGGATCAGAGAGGGAGAGAACAACACAATTAGTCAAGACAACACAGCTGAGCGCTGAGCTTGCATGTGCTCCAGACAATTTGCCAGATTTCCCAGTGTCAACCATGAGCATGTCAGTGCTGCCAATGACTTACCCTTGATGGCCCTTTGTATAAACAACGTAGGTGATTCCAGGATTGTTCTTGTGGAAAGTCCAGCATTACCTCTTCAAAAACCTGGATTGCAGTAAGGAACAAATAAAATATTTAAATTTAGATATGGTTTGGTTTGTTTTGATCCAACGAGAAATGCACAATCACATACGACCAATCGTATCAATCAATGTGATGTGTGACAAAGGTTGGCCACAACACTTCATTGACAACCTCAAAGCGCTACGTAAAATTTCTGACGAAACAAATCGGTTTTGATTTTCTACTCTCGCTGAGGTCTTGCTTCGATGATGTGATCATTTAGTGTGCTTGTACTTTGCCGTTGAGGTCAGGCATGATGGTGAGGTTAAATGTTAAACGTGAAGATACATTTAACCTTCCATAATCATGTAAATTAGCTGCACTGTTACGTCAGTCTCAAAATGACGTGCAAAATTTGTGGCTGCCATGTTGTAAAAAAAAAGAGAGAGAACTTGAACCTATCCTTTTTGTCTTCAGATCCCCGTTCATTCCTTACCTTCTTTCGACCAGCTTCGTCATGACGAGCAGATGAAAGTCGAGTCTGCGACAGAAAACGATGTTGAGAGTCAAGTTATTGTCGCAAAACTAGTTAATCATACATGCTTCATCAATGTCCAAAGTCTGGCCCTACCGGCAGAAAACCACTGGCACAAAAATTCACGTGTGGCCTGTCAGGACCGTTGACAACAGTAGAAAATACACATGGACAAAAATGGTGTCAGATAGTTCACCAGAAGATTCCAGCAGATATGTGGCCGTGCTCTCGCGTACATTTGGAAATATACTCAGAGCGCGCTCTGCCCCTCTGAACACACCACTTTCAGAGTCACATTAGGCGTCAGAGTGAATTTCTGAACCCACCACTCCCTCTCTAACTCTTGTGTGACTTGCCAAAAAACATAGCAAGGTTAATTGATTGTTTTATTTAATGTTACTTGGCTTTTACTACCCCTGTGTTAGCTTTATTAAGAGTCTTTGTGTGTCTTGCTTTTATTTATTTACGACTTACTTTTTCACAAATGTAGTTTTGGATTTTTTTGGTGCCTGAATAAATTAAAATGGCATTTATAAACTGTATTTTGTCCTTCATTGGGTTGTCTATGTGAGATATTAAAATCAGTTTGATTAACTGAAACCTTTGTTGCGCGATAAATACGCAAAGAACACAGAAATCAGGAAGAAGGGGGCAAACACTTTTTCATGGCGCTGTAAGTTTCCGACTCCTGCCCGGAAATGATCTTTTAATCTCCAACAGTAATGTTCACATATTTCTCTCGGCAAATTGTACAGCTGTGGTTTGTGCACTTTAAATAAAAATTTTGTACTAGGGTATATGGGACAGCCTTAGTCACAAAATACACAGACCTGTGCAAGGGATGTGCTGCGACTTCTCGTCGGTATGGTATACTGACGGCCTCTTCCTCTGTGAACGGTGGAACACTTGTAGCAACTCCACTGCTGCTGCTGCTGCTCTGAAGCACCTCCCAACCCACAGTCCGTATTTTGTTGCTGCAGGCACTGAACGTGGTACAGGTGACCACAGCTGATACGACAAGAGAGCCGGGTTACTATTGAGAACAGTTTGTTGGCTGGTTGCTGAGTTAGCAGGATTAGGCATCATCTACTTGACGCAGGTAGCATGGCTGCATCCGGTGCCGGATGTGATGCATTCTAAGAACTACAATTGCTTGAACAAGGAAAAAAAAAAAACAGACACCAATAAAAGTCCTGAATTCACTTATTTCCGCCCATCTTTTTTAAACACATTAATTACTGATGGAGAATAGACTAACAATGTTTTCATGTTTAAAAGTTTCATTTTGTTACATGCTTGATTGACCTCGAACGCGTGTGTTTTTACAGCTTGTACACAAAGCTAATAAAATGCTTTGTGATAGCAGCAGCGGTTGTGAAAGCTCTATATAAATAAAGCTGTATTGTATTATATTGCATTCTTTTGGCGGAGCTCCGTCTAGTGCAGTGCTTCTCAAATAGTGGGGGCGCGAGAGTTGCTGTGTCCTGCTTCAAACCTCGCTTCGAAAAGCTGTGCATTGCAAAACATGCTCATTGTAGCCATTAGTCCAGATATCATGTTGATTAAAAAAATCTGCATACATTATTTCATGTATTTTTGTTTTGCGGGTTAAAGTTTTTTTTTAATATTGTGCTCGTGAGTTAATGTTGGGGATCAGTTTGAATGCATTATTATTTATTGATTTTATGTTTTAATATTGGGTGGTTTGACACTGTCAGTCAAAAAATGTTTACAGTTTAATGAAGGATTTAATTTTATTTTTGAATTTCAGATGCACTTTAAATATTTTCTGTTACAGTTAATAAAGCTATTCTTTTGTTGCAAGTTGGTCCATATTTCTTTTTTTATTCTCTTATACGTTAATCAGGATACAGTGTTATGCAGAGGTGTACTTATGACAATTTTATAGACAAATGATACGATTTATAGTGGGGCGGATGGAGGGGGGGGGTGGGAGGAGATGTTTTCTTCTTGGCTCTCAACGAAGGCGGACGCTTTTTTGCTCTGCTCCTGTCCCCCCCCCCAGTTCGCCACTCAGTCTATGTGCTGTCCTTGTGCTGTCCTTGTGCTGTCTTTTCCTAGCCTCCGCCGTATTTTCATCCTAAAAACAAACCATGGAATTGGTTGGCTGGTCTCTTCATGCAATCGACAACATTTTCTCGACGAGAAGAGCAGGCAGTGGGGAGCCTGCTTCCCCCTCGGGACATTTGTTGCCGGGTATACCCTAGATCCCTGGAGGAAGTGTAAAATGGTGTGCCTGTCAATACTGTCCGTTGAGGAGGAGGAAGACATCTACATTATCGGCCTTCTGATAGCAGGTATGCCGCTGTTTGGTGTTAGCAGTTTCCTGATCCATCGCAAAATTCAACCGACAGGAGCGGCTTTATTGGAAGGAGAAGCTGCCAGTCTTCTTGGGATGGCACGGCACGGATTTACAACACTCAGACTCAAGCGATGACTGACCTCAACCGCAAATGGATGCGGTTTCGGAGCGTTTCCGTATGATGGTTATCAACTGGAGAAGTTGAATCTGCCCTTCGGGAAGTAATGGCGGATTTGGCCGATCGGCGCCAGTGAAGGTATACAGCCACGGACTCAAGGCCACCTGAAATTGTTGGCGGCCGTCCCTCCAAAACAAACAACGGTATTTGGAATCTTTCCCCTGGATGGAAGTACGCACGGAAGCTAGTGACCCCACCATCGCCCCCTCCTTCTCGGTCATGGACTGATAAGCCGGGACTGTCTCCATGAGCAGACCTTGAGGAAGCAGCTGTGGCCTTTACGCACACACAACCAGACTATCACACACGCATACACATCCTTATCATCAGCGCCTTCACTGTTCCTGGCTTTTCCCCGTGATGTGACCTGATCTGCTGTGCGCTGAATGGACTGGCAGCACGCCGGTCAGGCCGGGTTTTCCCCATCCATCCTCCCCCTCATTACACGTTATGTCTTGTGACTTTTTGTAACTGTCATATGCTTTGATGTGCATCGGGCATTTTTTTCCTCCTAGACTTAAATTATCCTCAGAAGAGGATAGTTCGAGCATGTTTTTTTTTCCCCCTCTCCTTCCTTAGTATTTACTTTCTAACTAAGATCTCGGGGCGCTGTACATACGGCGAGTACCGACGGGCCCTTCGCAATGTATCCCATGTTCGTCATTGTTTTTCATTTTTTCCTGTGCAGAGCGTGCCTGTCAAGTCCAATTACCCAATGGGGATAAATAAAGTTTCCTGAATCTGAATTCTTCCTAGGGGAGGCATGACAGAAAATAATTGAAAAGCACTGGTCTCCTGCTGTGCGCTGAATGGACTGGCAGCACGCCGGTCAGGCCGGGTCGCCCCCCCCCCCCTTTCCCCATCCATCCTCCCCCTCATTACACGTTATGTCTTGTGACTTTTTGTAACTGTCATATGCTTTGATGTGCATCGGGCATTTTTTTCCTCCTAGACTTAAATTATCCTCAGAAGAGGATAGTTCGAGCATGTTTTTTTTTCCCCCTCTCCTTCCTTAGTATTTACTTTCTAACTAAGATCTCGGGGCGCTGTACATACGGCGAGTACCGACGGGCCCTTCGCAATGTATCCCATGTTCGTCATTGTTTTTCATTTTTTCCTGTGCAGAGCGTGCCTGTCAAGTCCAATTACCCAATGGGGATAAATAAAGTTTCCTGAATCTGAATTCTTCCTAGGGGAGGCATGACAGAAAATAATTGAAAAGCACTGGTCTCGTGGATGCATAACGCAACCGCAACCACTACTGTAGCTCTTGTTCTATGCGCTTTAAATGCGGTGCGCCCTACATATGAAAACCGTTTTAAAATAGGCCATTCATTGAAGGTGCACCCCATACTCCGAAGCGCCTTATAGTGCGGAAAATACGATAATTTATGCACTTGGCAGTTGTCAAAAATAGAGGAATGATAACTTCTATGGGAAACCAAGTCACACATGCGGACCGTCAAATTTCATTCATCAAATGTGTGTAATTTAAGTATTGGGAGCGGCATGGCAGAGGTGGTGGACTGTGGATTCGATTGTCAACCACCATGTCGAAAATAAGAAAGTCTTTCTATGACTAAACAATGCCTTCAAATTGTTTTGCTGCCTGGTGCAAGAAGACAGCAGGCTTCTTCATTTGCACATTGTGATGTACTGTATTGGATTTCTTGCCAAATATGGATTAAGATATGATAAGAAACCTTTTATTTGTCTCACAATGGAGAAATTATCCCACAATTACAGCACTGAGATGCCAAGATATATCGTGATCATCACCTAAATATCGAGATAGAATTGTCCGAGTTTAACCCTTTTATGCACCCTGTAACCTGATCACACGATAAGCTGTCCACTGTAGTAACCGTTGTCCCTGAAAGGATTCACGTGTGTCATTTGCAGAGTGCAGCTTGTGTTACCTAAATAGAAGGATCTGCTCAGATGGGTCCTGCCACCTCTTGTACTGTTGTAGGCAAATGTTACAGTAGTCTTGTCTCGGGTGGAGTCCCCTTGTCACAGCGGTGCGCAGATGAGCCAGGGACCAGTGGAGGTCATGATTTAAAAGACTGGTGGTCGTTTCAAATAAAGTCTTCAACAAAAAACACCGATTATATGAGAAATATTATTTATACTGTATTTGATGAGTTATGCATGCATGTACAAGTATGAGTCAAGGGAAAGATTTATTCTTCCTTTCACTTGGACAGCCTTCCCATCTGTGGTAAATTCATTTATGATGCTATCCTAATTTACCTGTTCGTAGTTGAAAGTGTCAAGCATCCCAAGAATAAGGACTTGGATCTCTGCAAATTGTCCTTTCTGATAAATGGGACTCTGGTGGGCACAAAGTTAGGTGAAATGTGAATGAATGAAACAAATAAAAACTTGAATTCCATGCAGACAAATAGCCGGGTCCCTGGAGTGCCATCAAGGGTAAAAATCAAACAACCAAGTACCGTAATTTCCGGACTATAAACCGCGACTTTTATCACACGCTTTTAACTCTGTGGCTTATTTAATGAAGCGGACTATATAACGATTTTTCTAATGGCTGCAAGGGAGCGCTCAAGCAGAAAAGGTGAGACAAATTGATACATACGTGTCGAGGAAAATGCCATCTGTCACACTGAAAACAACCGGCCGTGAGATGGCGCATTTCACCTGTGTTTTGGGCTGCACTGCATCCAGCAAGGATTACGATGCCCCAAAAAACAAACAAACAAAAAAAAAAAACCTCCCGAAAGACATTATTGTGAAAGTTGACATGAAAGTGTAGATGGTAGAAAGCCTAATGAAGGAATGGTTGACCGAGTGTTACGGCAAGCGAGGATTTTTTTCACAGAAAAAAAAGCATTACTCGGCGGCAAACAGTGCTTTATGTTTTTTTTAATCAGCCCTGTTTTACTGCCGCGGTGTTCCTGCATTTACAGGCACTATTTGGAAAGAAAAGTGAGGGTATGTTTATAAAATTTTGCTTTCTGTATACCGTTTTTCCTTTGTAAATATCTCTTGTTATAATGTGGGCACCTGCGGCTGATAGACAGGTGCGGCTTATGTATGTACAAAATACACTTGACATGTACAGCTAAAAATATTAAGGCTACAGTATCGCCTTCAATCTAAGTTGCATGATCATTTATAAACATTTTAAGAATGCTGGTACAGGCTACGAAGTTTAAATGTACTATCATGTCAATATTTTTAATTTGATTTAGTTTGTACACATTCAGGCTGTAAGCCAATGATGGTTATACAAGAGCGGCTGCTTGCTGGATCAATATGCTGCGATTTACATGATCGGATTAGACTACTAGATTAGATTGCAACTGCGATCGATGAGTAGTCGACTAGCAAAATAATCGCTTGTGGCAGCCGTAGATGAGAATTGTTATTGCATAGCCTACACGTACTGGGTCAGTGCTCAACCCCAGGCTATGTTATTCACGTCACATGCAGAAAACATGCCAGGGAATGCAGAAAATCAAATTTCAATTTCAAATATACTGTATGTGTGTGTGCGTGTGCATGTGGCGGGGTTAGAACCTCCACACTCCCCAGTGAATGTCCTGCCACGCCACATAAAACTGGGGCTGTCAGTGTTTGAGCCACAAGTATACAAAGTATCCAACAGGTGAGCAATGAGTCATTAAAAGCAAGCAAAAGACATACCTGCAGTATCTGCTGTATGATAGCAGGCAGTGAAACCAAGCTGCTCATACTGTTGAGAACGTTCATTGTCAGATCCTTTAAGACTGGAGGGGGGGGATATATATTTTTTTTAAATCACAAAATGCATTGTAACCAGCACCATTAACAAGGCCATTTGTGTATTGGTGTGGTTTACATTTGTTTGAAAACAGCAGACTGTTTAAATAAACATTCATATCTACCTCCAGACATTGTACAAATCTGTCCTGGGTTTTAAGAAATTAATAATCCAAAGGAAAAAAAACAAAAAAAAGAAAAACACGAATAAAACTAAAGGTCATGCAAACGTATCCAAATTTAGTAATTTGGTGTATCCCCCATTGATTATTCAAAATTATCCATATCCAAGACATTGGCATAACCAAGTATATCAGATAAGTCACCACGAACTGTCAGTCTGTGATTCTAATTTTAAAATTTGTCACACAAGGTCAGTTTTTCTCATCTGTGAATTCAAGGGTTATTGTTGCATGTCCAGATGAAACTCATCTCAATTAGTGAGGCTACAATCAGATATCAATAGCAGCCTTTTGAATTTTTATATGCTTTGTTATAAAAGGAAGGAAACATCCTTTATCTGTCCCTCCAGGGAAAATTAAACTTACACTCAACAAATGCTGAGGATTTTGTGCCTTGCTCAAGTGCAGTGATACTCAGGACACCATCCAGCACCTCTCCATGACTAAATAGCCCAAACTCCATATTCCTTTGTCCATAAAGGTCATGTACCAATGTTTTACCATTGTTTATTAATAGTCGTGACCCTATATCTTCAAATATACATGATGTAAAATCATCCAATATATTTATGTTGGAAGACTTGTGAAGTCTGACTTGTACACTTGTAAAATTTGAGTGTACCTCAGATATAGTGTCGTAATACAAAACCAAAGTAACACAGAAAACTGCATGTGTAAGATTTTTTACCCTGTTTCTGGGGAGTCATCAATGTCTCCAATAATGAAAACCAGAGCTCCTGTATGCAAAAAAAAAGATACAAATGAAACTGTTGTGCATGCTTTGATAAGATGGGGTGATTATTAAATAGCCTATTCCTCTCTGTACAGTAATGTGCACACGTAAGAGTTCGCTTTTTACTGATCTGTTTTTAGTCAGTGTGCCACAGCTGTAATTGGTTTGACTTGCAATTAGCGGATGTCAGTTTTCCACTCCATAATGGGAAAGGGCATCTTGGTCGAAAAAGATCCAAATGAATAAGCACTTGTTTGTCTGTGTGTGCCCTGGCAACCAGTTCAGGGTGCACCCCACCAGCTGTCCGAAGACAGCTGGAATAGGCTCCTGCATGCCCCGCAACCCTTGTGAGGATAAGCGGATCAGAAAATGGATGGATGGCTGGATGGATACTTGGCCACTTATGATGAGAAGTGGAAAATACTGTTGCGACACTACGAGAAATTACCTTGATTTGTGGCTGCTGGAGTTTCTGAGAGTTGCGATGACCCAAGGCGATGAGGTCGTTCAGTGAATTTTCTACTCTCTTCAATAGAATCGACTCATTTTCTTTGTCCTCTTCGTTCTGCCCTCTGGTGGGGTCAGCAGTCAGTAGAGAAAGCTGCACTTTTAATGCCTATGAAGGACATATTTGAGGATGTACGTTTCAGACAAATGAATATTCGTTATTTTTCAGCAAATGAACTTAAAAAAACCCCAGCCATTCCTATCAAATATGTAGGTGAATAACTATTTAACTACCTCCAACAAAACTGTAAATGCTCCATAAAAGTCTCCTTTCTTCTCGAGCAAATAACCTGTAGCTTCACTGTGGTGGTACTTCTCAGTGATCTAAATAAAGAGAAACAATGATACAAGTGAGATGGTCAACTTTAATCCAAGTCTCAAATGCATGAAGTTAAAAAATGCATACAAGAACAAAGTCCATTAAGATATTTAAGACAGACAACAATGTGCAGTAGTAAAAATGAAGTTGTACGGTGTAATATCCCCCCCCCCCCAAAAAAAAAAAATCAAATGCAATCATCAATTACTCGTGGACATGACCCTTTTTTTTTTTTTTTTACATTTTATTTTTTCAACTGACAAACCTGTTTCGAAATATTTAGTCCAAATGCAGCTGTCTTCTCTTGCCTGTTTAATCTATTTTGCCATCAAGAAACTAAGATGAGGTGCTTTAAGTATCATGATAATTTAGCTGTGTGATATGAGGACGGCTGGTTAGCCCGTCCGCCTCATACTGCAGAGGTGCAGGGTACGATCCCAGGCCCCGGCTTTCCTCTGTGTGGACTTTGAATGTTCTCCCCGTGCCCGCGTGGATTTTCTCCGGGTACTCCATCTTCCTCCCACAATCCAAAAATATGCATGGCGGCTTAAATTAACAGTCTAAATTGTCCCTGGGTGTGAGTGCAGATGGTTGTCTATATGTGCCCTGCGATTGGCTGGCAAGCAGTTTAGGGTGGACCTCGTTTGCTACCCGAAGACAGCTGGGATGGGATCCAGCATGTCTGTCATCCTCTTGAGGAAAAAGCGGCTTAGATAATGGATGGATGGTGGTGTGATTTGATTAGACATAAGCAGTAGTGTTCATTTTCCTAATTTTTTTGTTGAACTCAATGATGTTCAAAAGGTATCACTAGCGATGTCTGGGCTCTCTCTTGTGGTACGCAAAGAATCACTGAATCAAATGGTCTAATTGTGCAACAATGTGGCTTGAACTTGTTTTTTTCTCAGTTCATTTCAAGTATTTGTTTTATGGAGCTCTGTTGTAACTGACGTTGAAATATAAGTGCAAAATATGTGCATTTAATCATTCAGAACAGGTAGAATTTTTATGTAACATATGCGATACATTTTAGTTGAATGAATTGATTTTTAAATTACCGTAAATTCCGGGCTCCAGACCGCACCTGATTAGGAGCCGCATGCTCAGATTTATGAAGAAAAATCAATTTTGTAATTGTATGCGCCGCACCGTACTATAAACCGCTGGCCAATGAGTAGGGCGGGGGTTTGCTTCTGCGTCCCTGCCGTCTGGAGCCCCTCCGGGTGAGGCCACGGACGCGGTCCCCCGCTAAACCCCCGCAGAAAAACGCAACATTTCTTAAAGTTAAAATAATCTCCATATTTTTATGAGCATGATAAATGCATTTGCACAACGAAATTACGCTGAAACACATAATAAGAGGCCAGACAAAGAGAGATCTCGCCGCTGAACCCCCGCAGAAAAAAACGCAACATTTCTTCAGGTTAAAATAATCTCCATATTTTTATGAGCATGATAAATGCATTTGCACAACGAAATTACGCTGAAACACATAATAAGAGGCCAGACAAAGAGAGATCTCGAGGCGCATTTGTGTAATTACGAGGAGAAATACTGCAGCCCACTAGACTTTAAATAGAATAATGCAGTCACCTTTTTATTTACAGTCCGAGTGAGAGTCAAATCAAATGTCAGAGGGTCTTCGTCCATATTTATTATTTCATCTGGGCTGATGGAATTCTCCGCTATCTTTGTTTGTGTGAATGTGCGGAACGAAGCAAGTTTGTCCTCGTAATTGGGAGGGAGCTGCTGACAACATAACGTCGTGCGTGCTTAAATAGTAGAGCTAAGATCGGTCCTAAAAAAATCGAGCCCGACCCGACCCGGCCCGATCACTAAACTTGATTTGCAGGCCCGAGCCCGAAGCAAACCCGACATTTCATATTTTATTTGTGAGGACTCGGGAGGAGGAGGGGTGATTTCTGATAACAAAGCCTGTCTTTTGTAACGAAATCTAAGTTAAACAAGACTGTATAAACATTTACATCTTTTATATTTCTGTTTCTGAAGAAGTTTTATTAACCGACAATTTTCTATCATTGACTGATTTTTTTTTCAGAGTGGACGGGAAAATTTAAGGCCGTCCGTCATTTTGACGGGTTGAAAATAGGGCCGTAAACCACAACAGCAGTACGTCCGTAAGAATCTAGCGCGGAACTTTAAGAGAGAGAAGCAGAGACAAAGATGAACAATTACGAGTGGATCATCGAGACATGAAGGAGTTTTTGGAATTGTCATTGCGAGAGTTTAGTACAGTACGTGTTGTGATGAGGCCACTTCTGTTTTTTGCGAACCACGGTCTCTGGTGGTCAAAACTATTCACAGCCTCGAAACTAAAAAAAAAAGTCAGCGACAGAGAAGCCCGACCCGAACCCGAAGCAATGATTGATATTTTAGGGCCCGAATTTCGGGTCGGGTCGCGCTCAGGCGGCCCGATCTTACCGTTTCATGAATCTATAACACCACGACGGCCCACCTTTAAAACCTTTAGTTGTCTTTTTACACCGGCTCAGTTCTTCTTGTCGGAGCCTCCACCTTCGCACCATCTAATCGTCTATGCCAAGATTAGGCCAAACAAAAAAGATAGTGTGTTTCCGCTAACAAGAAATTTCAGCATCGGGTCGGCAGGTCGGACAAAGTTTTTTTTGTTTAATCCTGTTTTTTCCCATCAAAAATTTAAACAAAATAACCATAAAACAAGAGGACATTGAACCCGCCGCCGCCTATTTAGTTTTCTCCCCGCTCCGGACTTGGGGGGCCGGGGCGCGCCGCCGCCTCCGCCGTCCTCCGCCCTCC